ATAGTGACGGTATTGTGTGTGTATGTTCTGGTATCGTTAACAAGATAATAAACCAGGAGTTGAAGTCAACAAAAGTTCATAAAACCAAAGTTTACAGGTTAATTTCTCTCCACATCGAGACATCTTTAGCTGTTTTCATGGAAAGATGGCTAAAGAAACTGGAATGACTGCAATTCCGTTCAACCATCAACCTGTCAGGTTTCTTTAAGGGAGGTCAAAAAAAAACTTTTTTGCTTTTGGTCTCCTTAACTTTAGTTTTAGAAGCTGACGTCTACTTACATTGACAGTCTGTTAGAAATTTGATAAGACGATGGTCTACGATTGAATTCGCTGTCCTTTCCAGAAACTTGTCAGAATAGAAACTGTGGTTCGAACAACAGTGGGTGATCATGGCCATCACGAGCAACTAGTTCAAATATCACATAGTGTAAATATCACGTAGTGTAAATATCACATGCACTTGCAGAATGTTGATTTTGAAAGCCTATGTGTATTTATTTTGGCTTTTGTAAATATTGACACTGAAAAAAAAGGATAAAATACATCCTAATCTAACCTAACAGGGCTTATCAGTAATAAGTTTTAAAAACTGATTCGATTATTAAGGTTATTCAAGAATAAGTACACGCATGTTAAACTAGTCAAACAGTTAAATCCTCAAACCAAAGTAAAGTTTGATAGAAGTGCGTCGTTGCTGAACAAAGGCATATAGTGCCACAACATCAAGCATGCAGATGGAGATTGCGCTGCTTCAGTTGCCTTACGATGGCTTGAGGATCAACCTGTCAGACACGCAGTTATTGTCACTGATTCACAAAGCATGCTTCCTAAAATAGAGGCTGGATGGATCCGCGTGGAATGGCTACAATCTATACGAAAGTCACGTGTTAAGAGCCTTGTATGGATATTCCCTTCTGGTCATGCTGGGGCCCAAAGGGAATGAAAGGGTAGATAAACTAGCTGGTGATGCTTTCATTGGAGGGAAACTGAGGCCAAGAAAAAACAGAGATTGTGAAGACTCTGTAGGAAATCTTTGAGCATAACTCCAGAAAAGCCAAAGAAGCAGTGACGGAAAGACTTGTCAAACTTGGGTTTTCTAGATGAGATGGAAGAAAGTCACAATATGTCACAAGCAGAATTAGCACTCCCGCACTTCGATGTCTACTGAGGGTGGGAGGACTGAGCATGCATGGGAATGTCACAAGTACAGGGATGTCGGTCCTTCAACCAAGTAAGTATCGCCCTTAGTATCAATACTTAGAGAACTTCAGTAATATCTCAAAACGAATATAATATCACAGTACTGATTATGACCGTATAGTTCTTCGTAAAAGAAAATATTGACAAAGGCTAATCTAGGCAATTTATGAAGTCGGTTACCGAATTTGTATGTTGAGTTCATCCCCCCCCCCAAAAAAAATCCATCTGTAACCTTTTATTTGTATGTTACCATTTCTGACACCTTATATCGTATTTTCAGGGCCGTATCTTGGGTAGTGCGATGCGGTGCGTCTTGTGGCTGTGTTTATGAGGTTTTTAAGTGCATTGATTTTTTGTGTGGTGTCATGAGTGGAATTCCAAGGGATGTAGAGGCCAATGTGTGTGTTCTTGCGGTGAATTTTGGTTTTAAACTGCGTGTCCAATATAATAATTTTGAGGTTAAGAAAAGATAACCGTTTATTGTTTTCGTGTTCTATGGTAAATTTGATGTTGGGATGAATAGAATTTATGTGTTCAAAGAAAGTTACTGTGTGTTCTGTAGAAGTGAAACAAGCAAAAGTGTCATCGACATATCTGTATCAGTATAGTGAGGGAAGAAGCGCAGAATGTATGGCTTGTGTTTCGATCTGGGTCATAAATATATTGGCAAGAATGGGCAAAACAGGATTGCCCATACTTAAACCATCTATGTGAAGGAAATGTTCGTTGTTGAAAATGAAGTTGGTTTTAGTCGTTGTAAATTCTAAGAGAGAAGCAAGAAGTGTGCTGGAGATGTCGATTAACTTGTTGGGGTCATTAATGTAGAGGTCGAGTGCAATATTGCAAGCTTCATTGGCGGGGACGTTGGTAAAGAGTGACACGACATCAGAACTAGTTTTTGATTACATCATTCAAGGTAATGTTTTTTAGAAATTTTATGAAAATGCAAAAATTATGCATCATGCATCCTAAATGTTAATTATCAAGGTATAGAAAAGAAGAAATAAAACATTTTAAATCAAAAATCACTCCACAACAAGTTACAGATATAAATCCAGATGAGGTAAATATCCTAACATTTGACAAAGCGGCAAAAAATCCTTCAACAGCTTCATTGTCAATACTGGTTGTTTTCTTAGTCTGCTCATGTGGCATCCATGTATAAATGAGTCTGTAGTATGCATCTGCTAACACACATTTCCTATCATTTGATGTGAAGGATGATGTTCATCTGGTAACCACTGGACATACAATCTGGCAACAGTCCAAGCATTATCGTGACACTCTTAATAGAACAGTAGAACCATGTTAAACTGCTCTTCAATTGCATCATTATTTAAGTGATTTAAAAGTACCTGTATCAAACACTTGTATGTTACCTTACATAAAGGGTCTTTATTTTAATACTTTTTTAACCTTTTGGACCCTTCGATGATACTGTAATTTACTTATGCAAATTTCTGAATTCAAATTTAGGTTTGTATAAGAGCAACCTTTGCTATGGCAAATTTTGACCTTCTGAGGCACAACTCCATATTAAAACAAGGTATGCTTTTAAACCTAATAACAACTGTTCTTGAGGAGTAATTATGGTGATTTTGGGTTAAGATGTTTCATTTACAATCCCTTACACCATTGTCATTTTTGGTGTATAATGCATATGAATACAATTTCTGAAGGATATGACTTTGAATGACAGCATCTCATTCCACACCACTAGAATTACTTTCCTATGCCTTCCTATGTACTACTTAACCACTCTGTATAATTAAACAACCACACAGAAATCTGCATCATTTTCAATTACTGTGGAGTTAATTAGTATTTCCACTGTTACTGGTTAACAAAACAATCTTATTCAACAGACTATGAATGAAAATATACATTTTTGCTGAGAGTAAAGTACAGTTTCAGCAGCTACTTTATAAGTTCTTAAAGACTAATACAACTTAAAATTACTTCTTTTTTAAATTCTCAGAAGACATCTTTTGTGCTTTGTTTTTAATGTAAATGTTTATGGAAACCTAAACATCTTTGAAATATTTAGCTTTACATTAAAACAATTTATATAATGTTACATATGCTTTATAATCTAGCTCAAACAGACTTGGGCAAATTTACTGTCAGAGGCCAGAAAATTATTAAAAGTTAATCTAGAAGTCTGCCCTTGAAATGTCCTCACAAATACTAATTTTTTTTTACTTCAAATATATATAAGACCCATGTAGAGATCAGTAAAAGTCTTACCATATCAATAAATTTCTGATACACACTTAATTATAAATATTGCTGTTCCAAAATAATTAATCTGGGCTAAATATGAGGTTATTTTCAAAAGTGCAAAAAGAAAAAAAAAAGCTCATATCTAGACAACTTAATGTATAAAACTGTCCAAATTCGACTTAGATCTTACAATTTTTTGTACAATGTTGCAGGTGATAAGTTTTATTTATTTCCTTCAGTGGGCTAATTGTAAAAAACTATTAAAATTTATTTTAAAATTCTGTTTCATTAGGAACAGCTACCTTCCAACAACTAAACTACAAATGGTAAGTAATAGTTTAGGTGTAGGATAAAATGTACTGTAGCACCCAGATCTGCTCTTAATTCCACACACACACACCTAAGACTGGCTAATAGAGGTTAAATCGGCTAGATGATGCATCCCTTCTACTAGGTGGTTCCTAGATCTTTGGATACCTTTCTTACTAAGGTATACTTTACTTTTCTTTCAATATAGCTCGTACCCTAGTTTTATTTGACTAGTTTCATTTGTGTGTGATATTGATACTGTTTTATGCAGTGCAATGTTCATAAATACATATACATCCACATATAAGTATACTACTGTGCCATATAACTAACTATTCTGTAAATATAACTTAAAAATCAATGAAAACAATACTAATGTTGTATTCAAACCATCTAGAAAGTTTTAGAATATTTGTAACGATATTTTAATACTATACAAGGAATATTTGTAACGATATTTTTAATACTATACAGGAATATTTGTAACAATACTTTTAATACTATACAGGAATATTTGTAACGATGTTTTTAATACTATACAGGAATATTTGTAACGATACTTTTAATACTACACAGGAATATTTGTAACGATACTTTTAATACTATACAGGAATATTTGTAACGATACTTTTAATACTATACAGGAATATTTGTAATGATGTTTTTAATACTATACAGGAATATTTGTAACGATACTTTTAATACTATACAGGAATATTTGTAATGATGTTTTTAATACTATACAGGAATATTTGTAACGATATTTTTAATAATATATTTACACAAAAAGAATATCATATATCTAAATGAGTACCTTTTTTATATAACTTCATGTTTATATTAATTAACGTAAAAAAAACTTTTAGAACAAAATATTACCCTAGGAAACAAGCTTCAAGTTTCAACACTTCCACGTGTCCTCTTTAGTCCTAGTCATATTCATAACTATGCAACTGAAAATATTTTAATGAGAACACCATTCCAATCCAAACATAATCTAAAAGTATCATTATAACTAACGAGGTCAGTAGCTTATTTGCTTATCACTAGATGTTTTTTTTTATCGTATTTACTAAATCATTTTCTGATAAAAGTTGACATTTCATTCTTTAGCCTCGTTATCATATGTACAGTTAAAACACTTATTAAACAGCCTAAATTATTTTGATTTCGTCATAACTAAAGCACAGTGAGATATGATTTAATTCAACAATCCTGTGGTGTTGCGATGTGCACACACATCGCACTTGCCACGTATATGTACTTACGTCATCACTTTCAGCAACATCAACATTACCGTTGTCGTCATCATCAAGTTGTCGGTGAAGATAGCGAATAGCGTCTAATCCTAACTTATCTTCACAGGCATCCAGTTCCTCACATAAAGAATCTGAAATACAGAAAGTATGTTTTCTTAGTACATGTGCAATTACTTTCACAAAAAATAATGGTCGGGGTCGGATCGGTAATTATTGCGTCTTGTCTGTGAATCCGAAAATTCATGGTTCATGCCCTGTTGTCACAAAATCGCGATATACTTTGGGGTTGTATGTGCGGTATATCAATGACGCTCAAACCCACTATTAGAACAAGTAAGAGTAGCCCACGAGTTGGCGGTAGGTTCTGTTGATTGGCTGTCTTTTCTATAATCTGTCAGTTCAAAATTTAGACAGCTATATGCAGATAGACTTTTGTTTAGATTAGCCCGAAAAATCTGGAACGAATACACAAATATTTAACCATACCAGATGGCACGTTTAGTAAATACGCGCACTACTTTAAATAGCACATTTTCTTTAAAGTCAGATGTGTCATCTGATTCAACCCGCTATTAATTATTTTGTCACGAAGACAGCATAAAGTGTGGGGAATGTTTTATTTTTGCGGTATCGCATGGATTCGAACCTGGATCGTCAGCTCCGAAATTCAAAGCTCTGTCACAAGGCCAAATCGAGCCTATCGATGTTAACAGTCAATAATGCAGAGGTCAAAATTATGTAATTTTATCTCTCAGACCCGAGAGTCAGCAGATAGGATAAGTAATTCGGCCTGGTGTGTCAAACACTAACCAGGTTATTTCCTTATTCCGGTACATCACAGATAACACTTAGATTAACTGCTTAACTTGTGTGGCGACGAATATTATCAAGCATATCGTTGATAAGATAATGTCGTTGTTTGTGGCTTCAAAAGCTTTGCTGTTCATTCTGTTGACTGTTGAACTACACAGAAGATAAAGTAACACAAAGGGCTATCTGCGAATAGCTAGTCAACAGCTGCCTCTTGGGTTATTTTTGTCTGATTAAACAGTGGAATTTGACGGTTTAGTCTTATAGCGCCTCCATGGTGCCAGAAGTATGGAGTAGATGTTTTACAGCAATTGGATGTGAATTATGTAAAACTAAAGTTTGAGCAATTTTTATACAGTACTATTTCTTCTAGAAACATATAAAAATAAATAAATAAAGAGTTCTAGTGGGCACTAATTAAAATTAAGGCGCCACGTTGCTGGCATTATATTTTCCTGTTTACTTTCAGTGGTTCGAGTTCACTTAAGCCATAAAAATAACAGGAGACGAGCTAGCTATCGTGTCCTATATCCTGCGTTTGTGAAAGATATTTCCAAGCTGCACTGGACAACAATATAACGTATCCCAATAAAGGAATTTTTTTAGGAAAAATTCGCAGAAAAATAAAATGAACAAGAACAACAAATGAAAGACTCGAATACAAGTGCACTATTCATGTCGGCTTTATTCTTACTAACACTTGACTTAAATAGTCAAGTTTTTTTATTGATACTCCAAATTCTTCGACTGCTGGATAAGAAGGGAAGCACTCACATTTAAGTTTTTTTTATTGATACTCCAAGTTTTTTTGACTGCTGGATAAGAAGGGAAGCACTCACAGTCAAGTTTTTTTTATTGATACTCCAAATTCTTCGACTGCTGGATAAGAAGGGAAACTCACAGTCAAGTTTTTTTTACTGATACTCCAAGTTCTTTGACTGCTGGATAAGAAGGGAAGCACTCACAGTCAAGTGTTTTTATTGATACTCCAAGTTCTTTGACTGCTGGATAAGAAGGGAAGAACTCACAGTCAAGTGTTTTTATTGATACTCCAAGTTCTTTGACTACTGGATAAGAAGGGAAGCACTCACAGTCAAGTGTTTTTATTGATACCCCAAGTTCTTTGACTGCTGGATAAAAAGGGAAGCAATCACAGTCAAGTGTTTTTATTGATACTCCAAGTTATTTGACTGCTGGATAAGAAGGGAAGCAATCACAGTCAAGTGTTTTTATTGATACTCCAAGTTATTTGACTGCTGGATAAGAAGGGAAGCACTCGCAGTCAAGTGTTTTTATTGATACTCCAAGTTTATTGTACAGTATCCCAGCAAACTGAATTACCTATGTAAACTATTCTTCTCATAAATATTTATTTAAGGGGGGACTAAATCCTTACTTTTAAATTTAGAAAAATACAGTAATAAATATAAGACGAGGTAAAAAGGTACGAAAGGGAAGGTTAATCCAATTGTTGCTAAAATTAACAGAAGTGATAAAGTTATTATAAATTTAGGGTAAGACAAGGAACTATTAGTCACATCAGTAAATCCGATATTAAAAAAGCAGCTTAAATAAAGTGGGATGTAATAAATAGTTTATTTTGTAGAACAGCAGCAAACGTATTTCGCAACTGTTAAGTAACATTAGATTTCTTCAGTGTTCATTGGTACTTAGATTCTCTTAATTCTTCTCAATAAAACAGTTAAACACGTTTCTTGCTCAATCCGAATCAATTTCTCTAGGTGACTTCTTGTGTAAAGGTGACAGCAAGAGATGAGGTAGAAGCACCTCAAATATTTAAAAGTAATTTTATCATTTTAAAACAGCCAGGGTATGATCAAACATGCAAAGTTAAAATAACAATAATTTCTTATTAATGTTATATTATTATTCAAAGGAATGTGTCCTGAAGACTTAATCAGCAATACTTTCTTAAGAAACCAGAAGATATTAAGTTTGATTTATGAGATTTCTAACTAAAATTCAACTTTTTCAGGATATTGATGAAAAACCTTCAGAAAATTACTAAAACCTAATTAAAATTGGGCTCCAAGTTGTTTTTACAAATCCTCTATCCTGGTAAGGTTTGTGAATTACTACTTGGAAACTCCTCTCACATCGATAATGAAGTGTTTTTTACGCATTTTAATTTCATTCACCCCCCAATTTGATTAATCAAATAATTTTTAAATTTTCCTACAATAAAACGTACATTTTATTTGAGACTAGTGTTTATATTATAAGAAAGAGGAAACACATATGGTTATTTATATAAACTGGTCTTCTGCTCAAGAAATAAATTGTAGGAATAAAGACTTTTTTGTTATTTTGAACAAAGCGAACGTGTACTGCTTCAAACTTAAGTACCTTAGTTAGTGGCTTTTATCAAAGACGCTTATTTACAGAAGTGGTTCTTTCCTGCTTCCGTTGCTGAAACATTTGCACTGAGTTTTGTTTATTGAAGTTGTAATATACTACCTTTCAGATAAAATTTCGTTTATAAACCTTGCTTTTTATTTCAATGTCGTCTTGAACTTTTAAGAGAGCCAAGGTTAAGTAACCAATAAATCACACGTTTTAAAAGTGAAATTGTCTTTATCGACAATAAACCTCGGGGTTCCAAAGCAAACTTTTCTTTAGCGACAATAAACCTCGGGGTTCCAAAGCAAACTTTTCTTTAGTAACCAATAAGCCCCGGAGTTCCAAGGAGAACATTTCTTTAGTAACCAATAAGCCCCAGCTTACGAAAATGTACTTTTCTGTAATAACCAATAAGCCCCGGAGTTCCAAGGAGAACATTTCTTTAGTAACCAATAAGCCCC